TTTTTTTTTTTTTTTTGACAGACAACAAATTATTATTAAATCGATCATATTTTTTTATAATACAACACACGATTTTGTTAATTAATAAATATATTGAAAATGACTAGAATAAATTCTTCGAGTAATTACGTCGTTTCATCCAAGAGATGATGATTCAGATCGAATATGATTTTAATTAAAAAATAAAATATAAAATAAAAAAACCTCTCAAAGAATTCGTTTAAAGAATGTTCTCTCTTACCGTAGTTTCATCCTCGTGCAAGACTTGATCATATTCAGACATAGCAACGCAAAATATAATCGCTGTAACATCCTCGAAACAATGTATCCATTTTTTACGTTCACTTCTTTGTCCACCCACGTCGAATAATCTGTGAAGAAAATATAATAAATTAAAAATATTAGATAAAAAGGAAAAAAAAAAAAATAGAAAATAACGTAAAAATGTAAGAATGAAAGAGATTTGTGATTATAAATATTTGAGTCACCTGAAAATAATTTATTTGGAATAATATTGCAGGACAAATGCAGTCAATTATAATCGTCAAGAATGATTCACCTAACACGATCATTCACAATACATACACAACGCGTATATGTATGATATATATATATATCATATCTAGGAACGTCATAGGAACGTCGTGAGAGATTATGGGAATGAGTGAACACATATTGAGGCGTCTAACAATAAGACGTGATTAATGTTATTGATTTAGTTTGACAAAGAGAAAATAAAAATGATTCCTACTTTTCTCAATAAAGAATCTTTCTATAATACTATTGTTATAATTTATATTTTTGATTAGTTTTTTTTTGGTAATATATATATAACTATATTTACTATACTATAAATTGGTACTATACTATAATTATTTGTACTATAATTTTTTTTGTAATATATATAAATATATTTAATATATATTTACTATATGTTATTAGAGAACACTGGCAGGATTTGGTATTTGCGGCAATGTACTTTTGAGTTCCTAATGCCAAATAATAATAATAATAATAATAATAATAATAATAATAATAATAATAATAATAATTATTATTATTATTATTATTATTATTATTATATGTTATTAAATAATCCAATAAATTTTGTACATTATTTTAAATAAATAAATTAAATTAAAATTAAGGTTTTTTTAGGATTTGGTATTTGCGGTAATGAACTTTTTAGTTCCTAATACCAATTATTATTAATAATAATAATAATAATTATTATTATTATTATAATTATATGTTATTAAATAATTCAATAAGTATTGTACATTATTTCAAAATAAATATACTTACTTAAAATTAAGGTTTTTAAATGAGAAATGGACCTCGACGATACCAGTGGTTTTTACACGAGTCCTTAAAATATCTTGCTCCGTTGGTTGGTAATCCCTTGCACCTAATCGATCCAAGTCATCCAGGAAGCTGTAGAATGGATCAAATTTTGTAAGCTTCTATCGAATGAAATTCATTTGATACTAAATAAAGACATGTCATATATATAAGAAGTAATAATCTTACGGATTATATTTCTAGAAAATTAAAGAATACCTATCTATATATACATTTCTAAATTTATATCATATACCACGAACGCATTTTCTTTTTATAATAATTATTAAAAATACTAATATTAAATTCAAGAAAATGATAAATCATTGAAATAGTTTTTACCAAAAACGAATGAAAGATCGAAGTTTCTTTTTTTTTTACATTACGAGAAATTTTGAAATAACCAACGTTTCCTCTTCCTGTGTGTATCTTTTCTACAATAGGCAAACAAAAGAAGAAAACTTCCCGTGTGACGTGTCAGACATACCTGTTTAACATGAGAAAGACAGTACACCGGAATAGCATAATTTCATATTCAAAAGAGGATACAAAACTTTGGGTTATACACCTAAACGAGATTATTAACGTTCAGTTTGTTGTTTAGAATTTAAGGGTTGAAGTCGATTGAATGTAAAAATCAATCGTTATACATGTATGTTATACATTTATGCATATATATATATATACTTTATATATATATGTGTAATAGTCGCGTGCTAGGGCGCGGCTCGCAACAAGTAGCTGAAGAGTAAGCCGATAATACAAAACGAAAACTTTGTTGGCAGGTATAACTGTATAGGTAAAGGTAAATCTGAGTAACACTAGAATAGATTTTATTGATATATATATATATATATATATATATATATATATCAAATAATTTTTAAACAAAAAATCAACGAAGTAAAATTTACAATTCGGCGAGATGTATAAAATTTTTGCAATGGTTGTAAACAAAAAACTAATTATATAAATGTAACTTTTAAAATAAACGAACGTTTAAATATGTACATATATTTGTGCGTGTGTGTGTGTGTGTATTACATATATATCATACATAAGTGTAAATCTGGTATATAAAAGTCTCTGGTTAAACCATTTTCAAGATTTATGTACCGAGACAACGTGTATATCAGGATTTGGAGGTTAAGAAGTAGCAAGCAGCGCCATCTTTGTGGTATATTCGCCATATTTCACGGATAGTCCCAACCAAAGCGACGTAACGACCGAACGGAAAAAAAAGGGGCTAAAATGCTCGATGGAGAGGAATCATTTAACTTTATTTATCTCGCCATCGAATACAATTTATTTTTATTTCAATTAATTCTTCGAGAAAAATACAAAAATAAATCCAAATGGACCAAGCAATATGAATGACAAATGAACAAATCAAAATACGTATATAAAAGTATATTTAAGAAAGGAAAGAGAAGATAGAAGTAAGAAAGGGGTTTGGTTTGGAAGAAATAAAGGGTACGAGGTGAAGGGTTGTGATGGATCCACGAAAAAAAAACGTGGTTGAAAGAAGAAAATGAGTAAAGGTCGCCGGTATCTTAGGATCTGGATGGTAGAACTTGGATGTACAGAAAAGGAATAGGAAATAGGATGAGAGGAAGGGTGAAATAAGAAAAGGGAAGATTCCTCGTTGCAGCCTGCCCATCCTACTGCCATTTATTTTTCTTTTACAACTATTACTTCGTCTTCTTCTACTTCTACTTCATCTCCTACTTTTACTTCTTCTCGTCTTCTTCTTCCCTTGAGGGTTGGTGGTGAGCTTTAGAATTTTGACGGAAGTAAGAGAAGGATAGGGAAAGGAAGAAAGGTAGAATATAAAGGTAGATGGAGAAGGGGTGGTGGTGGTGGTGGTGGTGATGGTTGGTGAGGATGAAAAGAAAAAGAAAAAAGAGAGAGAAAAAGAGGGAGAGGAAAAGAGGAAAAATAGGGGAGGAGGGTGAGGAAGGCTCGCGGTGGAACAACGTCGGCCATCTTCCCTGTCACGTGACACGGGCGTGGCGTGACGTCATCGCCGATCAATACGACAGAGAGCGAAGGATAGAGAGATAAAGAAAGGAGGAAGAGGAGGAGGGGGTGGTGGTGGAGGAGTGTGAGAGAGAGAGAGAGAGAGAGAGAGTAGATTCTGTGAAACACACTCCGCATAACATCCATCCTTCTCTAATTCATCTCCCTACCCTTATTTCGACCCTCTTTGTTTCGCCTCGAATTCACCGTGGCTTTCCACCCCAACCCCTGAACCCTAAAGTTCCCCCCCTCTCTTCAAACCCCTATCCACCAGCAGTCCATTCTCTGACTTGTCGACTCCTTCAGGAAATTCATATTATAAGCAAGCTTTTCTGCCCTACTCCAATAGTCAAACTTTACGGTTTCGTTTTTTGACCAGGGACACTGTCTCGCGGCTACAGCTTAAATATGCAAAGGATGGATGTATATGTAATACACCTACACACTCACATATATATTATGTACATTTAAATATCGTTTAGGTTTGTTATTAATTCCAAGCTTTTACGATGTTAAAATAAAATCATTGGGAAATTAGATAAATATAGTTGGGTTGCTCGTTGGATTTTACAAATTGTTCATATTTAAATTTGTTATTAAATATTTGAAGTTATATAAAATTATATCTTTCTCTACTCTTGCAGTATTAAATTAGAAACTTTTTAATTGTTAATAAAATCATTGAAAATTCAATCAAAAACTCGAAGTTAAGAGAGTTTTTAATTTCACGTTTAATGTTTCTAATAAATAAATTGAAAATTTATTAAATACTTTTAATATTATTTTTAATTAAACTAATGAATATTATACTTTATAGATTTTATACATAGTTTTTTTTTCTTCTTTTTTTTTTCTCATTCATTTTTCTCCAATTTTTCTCTTTCTTTCTTTCTTTCTTTCTTTCCGTCTGACGCACGCGCCAAGTAAAAGAGGTTTCTGACATTTACGTTGAAAAGTCTTTAGGCGATGCTGATGCAGTACTATCGACAAAGTTTCTTAGACAGCTCAAAGAGAAGGGGGAATAGAGAGAACAGATAATCTCAAAGTTAGGTTAAGGATAAGAGGAAATATTACCGATACCTTCCCTTATCCCACCGTTCCTCAATAACTGTCAGCAAAAATCTATTATACGAAATGGGTTGCGAATTTAGCCACGTCCATATGACCACCGTAACTAAGGTCAGGGTTGTTCCATTCTCTTGATTAAAAGTCCAAAAAAGAAAAAAAAAAAAAAAAAGGAAAAAATATTCAAAATGAGGACACACAGAAAGCAAGAAAAACAAAATCGATTCCAAAATCGAACATGGTGTTCAAGATTTTTCGATTGGAATCGTTTGTATAATTTGGTATTGAATAATTTAATGAATAAATTGAACATCTTGTATTTAAAATTAAATAAATAAATAATAATAATAATTATGATAAACGTCATTAAATATACGTGTCATCTAATGATCATACAATATACAATATTTTTAACGTCATACACGTACGTAGGTACGTAGCTACGTTTGTGTACCTGCGTAACACGAGCTTATTATAAACTCCACCCTAAAATCAATAGTCAAGTAGCTAACGCACTACAAAAATATCCTCACGGGGGACGCGCAAGCTCTGCGTATTCCAAAGAGAGAGAGAGAGAGAGAGAGAGAGAGAGAGAGAG